AACCTTGTCAATTTGCTGTATGTTTTGAGTTGCTTATTATTACTCTTCTTAGCTCGCTAATCATGTTCATGTTACTCTCTTTAATTTTCATTTTTCTTATTACTGTGTTGTGCGTTTTTTTTCTTGATCTAGATCCATAATTTATTTACCTTCTGATTTATCTCTTTGATTTGTGTTTGTGTCCATTATTCATGAACTGTTTATTTCAATTCATCTGATTTTGTTTTTGTAAATATTAATAACCTTGTTTTTATCTATTTCCTTTTTAATGGGTGTATGAAAAGTAGAATATAGAACAACATTAGCAAGAAAGTTATTTCTTTACTAAATTTAATTGCAGTATCGAAATGTAAGTCACATATTTTATACTGTGGAATTAGTTTTTTTCTCATCCGTACTTTTTCTACTATACAACCATTATTATTCATTATTCGTGGGTATCAATTTAGTAAATTCTCTGTCTGACGATCTGAAATCACTTGGCTCTTGCGTTCAGTTTCTTTATGTATTCTTTTTGCGACCACTTTAGTCGTGTTCTTTTTATTATGATTTTCAATAGTAGTAGCATTATTGTCATCATTATAGAAATTACTAATAGTGTTGTTTGATCATTATTACCAATGTTATAGTTATTATCGTCGTTTACATTACTTTTACTATGCTTTTGCTGCTATTAATAGCACTACTGTTGCTGATATTAACTTTACTTCTGAAATGATTGCATTAGCTAATATTTGCAATATTATCCTTGGTTAATTATTGTTATTCTTCTTCGGGAGCAACAATAACAACTGTTATTCTGATACATTAAACTTCTGCCTTTTGCTATACATACGATAATCCCTGCTGCTGTGGTTACCACTTCTTCCTATCTACAATAGTACTATCCTATCGAACTTATCAGAGCTCTCATATATCATTTCAAGTTTTTTCATTTTCATTCTCTTGACAGAACTTCAGAAGAGGGCGTCCGATAGGTGGAGGACGACCGCGACCCTACGTCTTCGATGACTTTATCAGAGGAAAGTAAGAGAAAAAAACACAGAGTTAGAGCGATGTATAAGGGCCCTTCACCATCCGCTGGGGTCAACCTTGTCCCGTTTTCTTTTTTTTTTCTTCTTTTTTTTTGATTGATTGTTTGTATATTTTGTATTTTGCGGTGTGAATAAATGATTTATTATTAGATATACTAACTTTAACCTATTATTTTTAGGATAATGATTTTATGAATTAAAAGAATATACATGTATATGTATATATGTATATATCTAGTTTATATATATGTTTGTATATATACATATGTATATTATATATACCTATCTATAATATATATATATATATATATATATATATATATATATATATATATATATATATATATATATATATATATATATATATATATATATATATATATATATATATATATATATATATGTATGTGTATGGGGCACATACCTAAATATATGATAATGTAAATATGTGATAGCTATATTCCGCAACAAATCTGAAACATCTTTAACAGTGGATTCTTGTTGTATATTGTGAAGACACACTCACTGCGTCTAATATACAAATAAATAATTCCTAAAAAAATAGCTTACACGTGAAACAAATGAGCAACATATATATTGAAATAGGACTTAAAAAAATGCACTTTTTAATTTAGTTTTCCATAAAATTAGTAGTGGTATACACAGACAATACATCAATACACCATATAATCCTAACCTACAACCATTATCCATTAGCTAGTGATGAATTCCTTGTAATTAACATTTCTAGAAAAAGAAAATTCCTTCAGATACAAAAGCAGATTCCACAACACGGAAGAACAGCCAGTTGTTAGCGAGAACAGGAAGCTATTTAGCGTAATAGACAAAGGACACCGCAGCACCTCCCCGCCGTGAGCCGTGGGTCCTTCGCTGATGAACTGTGTTTTTTGCTTCTGTGATTTGGATTCCGGTTTAGGACTTAAAGGCCACGGTGTGATTATACGCTCTTTGGTGTAGAGATGTAAATAGGACTAAATATTCTCAGTAACTACATCATAGATAGGTAGATATTCGTTATATTAGAGTATATATATATTTTTTCTTTTTCTTTTTCTTTATATATATGTGTGTGTGTCTGTGACCTAAACTCACACTCATAAGAATGTAAGGAAGCAAAATATAAATTCCGAAATATACCAATATATATTACGTCTGCTAAGATTGTAGACGCGGTGTAGGTGTGGTGGCCGCAGGACGGACTGGCGGTCAAGTAACAGCCACAAGGTCAGTCTCCCGAAGGCGGAAATGTCTGTATTATTTCCGCCAATTTGCTTATGTGCGTAGGTGTTTGTCTATTTTTTTTTTTTATTTTTTTTATTTTTTTATTTTTTTTTTTACAAGTGAATATGTGCTCTTGCTTGCAGTGTATGAGTGTTTGTATAATGATTGCTCGCTAGGATTTGTGTGTATATCGTTGAGAATGTCTATACCTTTGGGTGGTTGTT